CCCCTTGAATGACTATTTCTAAACATATTTTAACTGATTAGAACAAAGCCTAATCTGAATATCTTGATGTGTATCTTGTAGCCATCGGTATTGGTGCTTCAGTATATCAGGAAAACACGGTGAGACAAAACCTGATTATCTTGAAATCATAACATTGCTTCCTCAGGAAAACCCGGTGGGACAAAACCTGAGCACTGTGGTAGCACATCATTGCTCCCCCTCAAATAGATCATCTTTAGTGGAGTATCTACGTACTGCCTCATTAAAACCTTGTCAAGAAAACCAGGTGGGAAAAACCTTGATCGAAGGAAAAAGAGAACAGCTACTCCCGTCGTTTCTCATCATCATGAAGAATCATATCAAGTATCCAGTAGTCCTCATTATACCATGAATATGCCTCGTTAAAACCTTATTAGGAAAAACTCAGTATGACAAAATTCTATTAAAGGAAAAAGAGTACACTATTCATGTGAATACGTCATCCCTGTTGCCTCATTAAAAACCTTGCTGGGAAAACCCAATGAGACAAAACCTCATCCAAGAGAAAAAAAGTACAACGCGTATTCTATATATTCACCGTAATAACCTTTCCATAATTTTCATGAATATCATATAGATTAATTCAGATTTTCTGATACTGGTGGTACATGATAATATGCCATATCATGCTTTTGTGCAACTTTCATTCTTAAACTCATTCTCATCATCAACTGGTTTCAATGATCTTACTGTCAATAGTTCCCAATAATTCACATTTCAACTGATTTCATTCTCATCAATATCATTTATACAGTGCTATTCATTTATTTGTGTTGATACTTATTCATTTCCAATATTCCCCGTAATATATTGAGATATCTCATTATCAATTGATTTCATCAATAGTATATAAATGCCTCTTTTCATCACTTATTTTGGGAATTTCAACTTGCACGATACCAACGCTTCTAACGTAATATTCCATCATCATATCGTTTCATATAATTCACCACCATCAGTATCATTCATTCTACTATTTGCACACTTTCAGTGTGATGCATATAGCATTTATATATTTCAATAATTGATTCTGTAACACCCCACTTTGATTTTACCGAAATTCCGGATTTTTCAAAAATCAGTATAAAATTTTCAAACTCATTTTCGAAAATTTAGTGGGTGTTAAACAACATTTTCAT